CCCGCTTTCGACTTTTTGTAACTTTGATGTTCCTACTCTCTGTACACAATCAAATCAACTTAAGGGCTAATGATAACTAATGATTAACTATCCACCATATTCATCATCCACGAAGGTCAAGGCCAAAACACGCTTTCGATCAATAATGTGCTCTTGGTTTGGTCTATTTTCGGACTGCATTTTTTGTTTGTGGCTTCCACATTAATTACAGACTAGGATTTCAACCCTACAAGGTGACAGTAAATACCTCATTCTTTCCGGAGCTCCTTCCAAAATCCCTGGGGTCACAGATCAAGGATTTTTTTGCATTCTTTCAATGCAATGTCTCTACACATGCTGGTTTCTGTCATGAAATGAACGAAAAAATGACAACACCATGGGTAGCTTGATGAGATATATTTCGAGCATATTTTAAAATTTCATTTTCATTTTACCGGTTTATAGAAGCCAAAGACCTGTTATACGACAGGATCTAAACTATATCATTCCTGGTCAGATTGATTGAGCGTCGCGAAGTTAAACCCCACATATTATTTACATTTCTGAAGGACAATTAGTCAGCAGAAATTATTGCACTTTTGGTGTACTGAATCTAGTGGTACCTGGAGAGAGAAAATGCGTTTTTTTTTCAAGACTGCTTTCCCATGCTTGTACCTATTTGCAAAGTGTAATTTTGATTAAACCGATTTTCCGATACTCACAGAAAATTTTTTAAAAGAAATTGTAGCTAAGATTATTCACTACTTGTTAATTGTTAAATGTTGGATAAATATGCTTAGATAGACAATTAATTGAAATTTAATGAATGCGCTTCTACGCAGATCGAATTAAACGAATTTCAGTGATAAGCGGAGGTTGAATTTGTACTCGGGCTCAAAAGCGCAACTACGCATACAACACGCTTTGCCAACTGAGGTCTTTTGTTCGCTGAAGCGAAGTACTGGCTCTACACTCCGTCTACCTCCTCCCCTATACCACGCCTTGTGCACTGTGTGGTCATATGATTCACTCTCTTAATAACCCGTGTGCTGGATTGGTAAACAGTTTTAATGAGCTGTGTACCAATTTGCAACGTACATGTAGGCCAGCAGTTATTTCGCGTCAAGACAAGATCTTACCTGATTCAATCGATGAGCTCTACTCAACGTGTAATCATGATAGCTTCGAGGCACTGACAATTGTAGAAGGAATAGCAATGCCGAGTTCGGCTTAGAGATGTATACGGAGAGGAGGAAGAAAATTCACCAAAGACATGATAAAACGGGCAGAATATTATCAGGAAGGAAGAGATTAGGAGAGAATAGTGGAGGACAGGTGGAAGGCAAGAGACATCCCACTAATAGATCGAAAAATAGGGCATAGTTAGGAAAATTAAGAGTTAGATCTCCTGGAAAACCAGCAATATTCACCATTGGTAAGGCCAATTAAGTGTTGGAGAGAATCTTTCCTAAAGTTCATAGGGTTAATATAGAGCTTGTCATCTTCGTATTTTCAGTTTAAAGAAAACCCGTGTGATATGAATTCATTGCGTGCTTTTATCAGTCGTTCTACCATCAGGGAATCTTCCTACTTTATGGTTGGGTGATTTATCATTAAGTTGATGGTGGTCAGTTTGCAATTGACTTTTAATTACATCATTTTTTATTTATTTATACCAAATGGCAGGCTTTTTGATAGTTATCATTAGCCCTTTAGTTGACTTCGGGCTTCACAGAGGGGAAGGAAAATCAAAGTGAAAAAAGTCGAGAGGGGGGTGGGGGGGGGGGGGGGGGGGGGGGGGGGGAGGGAAGAGAAGAGTGTTTCAAAGATGTTAAAGAGACAGGCAGACACAAAGGTAGAAAAAAGGTGAGGTGAGTACTGTGAAAGTGGTAGAACATGACATATAGTGGGGCCATTGTTGTTTGAAGTCAGAAGTCAACTGCCCAGTTAATAGACCTTTTTGCCGTATGAATATACGTTGTCCAGGGTGCACCACATGAAGGTAAGTCTATCGCGCACCCCTTAATTGCATCATTAATACGTAAATAGACGATGACACCTGTACAAGTCGAATTGCAGAAAAATCCTCAGAGCTTTTAACTTGGTTGTTAAAGATAATTGGGGAAATTGCGAGAAAGTATTTCATTTAATCTTATTTTCCATATTATCCGTGTATCAGATCTTCCACACGCGGTAGTAATTTAGGCAAAATTGATCGTCTTGGTGAAATATCAAGGAACTAAGTAGCAGAATAATGGTATACCCAGATTTAGGAAATATTGGCCTGTGCCAATCTTAATAATTCCACTCTGACATCGACTTTTGGTAATGCAAGATATAAAACAATGGCCTTGCAAATCATGTTGTTCTATTCAAGTGGATCTGTTAATTATAGCGCCGAATAAAGTCATTTGTATGGTAGTCATTGCCCTGAGTTCATTAGCAATTCGCGCTACACTTGGAAAATAAGTCCCCAACAGTGTTCAATTGGGGTCAATTTTCCATATTAATTTGTGAACCCAGATGAATTTACATCATAGGACTTATATATTTATATCAAATGGTAGGCTTTATTATAGTTATCCTTAGACCTTTACTCGACTTCGGGATTCACAGAGGGGAGAAACATCGAAGTCACAAAAAGTCGAGAGGGGGGGGGCAGAGGAGAGATTCAAAAATGAAAAAGAGGCAGGCAGACACAAAGGTAGAGAAAAAGGTAAGGTGAGTACTCTGAATGTGGTCGAATATGACATACAGTCGGATCATGGTAGTTAATCCGAAATCAACTGCCCGTTTATGGACCTTTTTGCCGTATGAGCATACGTTGCTCAGGGTGCATTGTACACCCCACATCATTAGCATTAGTTGCCTAATTCCGGCAATCCAATCACGCCAACCATAACTGGTTATCCACCGTTTCATCTTCTAAGCAGCGAAAAAGCAATGTCATCGATTTAAATTGTACCTAGCTTCAAGACGGAATGATTACCATCGTCAAAATAGCACCAAAACGAAGGGAAACTACCGGGAATCCAAAACAAGGGGTCCCGTGCGAATACTTAATATTAATATTACATTTTATGTAGAAGCAGTAATTACGGAATATTAGGAGTGACAACATGCTGAACAGTCAGTAATTCACAGCATGTATTGAAGGTGCTCTCACCATGAACTTCGATACTCCTATATATAATTGCTTCTACACTTTCTGGCATGATGTTCGTCCGGTTAATTTCTGCGGATATTTTGGCAATCTCATAAACGCGTTGAATATTTTTCGGCGAACAAACCACATATGCACAATTCCGTTTGACGTTAGCGACTAAACCTGAGGATCTGAACCCTGGAACTACTCTCTGGACAATACTTTTAGCGGGAGCAACGGTACAAGTGGATATTTTGTAGTGAAGCTTTCATTTAGCGTTACAAACTATTTAAATCCTAAATATGCTCCAAGACTAGGCACTTTTGGGTTAAAGACGGCATTCGATAGGACCGTACGCACAACTGTTACTAATAAGTGACAGCACAACACTGAGTAAAATACTCAGTTAAAACCAAACGGTTGGTGGAAATCAAGTGACCATTCGCGAGAGATTTGTTTCACTTTCTCAGTACCGTAGAAACATCAGAGCCGCCAGCATTGTGATACCAGTATGTGTAAACATAACATGATCATATTGGCCGAGAATTGGCTGCCATCATAAATCAAGCATGGTATAGGATAGCAGAGATCATGCTCTGTCAGGAGATGAGCATTAACTGAAGGCAAGCAGATCTGGGGGGGGGGGGTGAGGGAGTTGGCAATAAGCGAGCGGACACACTACGTCTGGCAATTAGTGAGTTAGCCCTCATCTCTTGGTTGCAACCAGCCATAGCCCCGGATCATAACCTTACGAAAATGTCAAATACCAATTGCCCGCTCATAGCCAACACAACAAAAGAAATAATAGAATCTAATAAGTTTTTATTACGATGCAAGTGTAAAGGGAGCAGTGAATAATATATTTGCTAAAAACAATAGTAGTGGGGGGTAATCAATAGCAATTGCTCAGCAGCAGTGGCATAATTCCGCTACAAACAGAGGAGTGCATATTAGTAGTTGGATAAAAAATAGTATGAGAGAGAAAAAGAGTTGAGGTGGATATAAGCAAAGACAGAGGGCGGGGGGGGGGGAGCCTCTGGAACCGGTCATCACATATCAAAATCGTCATAGACTAGACTCAACCGTCGCTTTCTTCCGCTTTGGCGTATGCCTCTTCCGCCAATTCATAATACTTCTCTGCAAGGCGACCATTAGCCTCCTTGATTGCAGATTCTGCTGCCTCATTATAGAGATCGCCTATTAGAGGGAAGAAAATGAATCCAAATAAGTACCCTATGCGGGAAGAAAACTGACGCCAAGTTAATTGCTTTGAAAGAATAAGATGATAAACAACTTAACAATGCAAAATGACTCAGTTGTCAAATCCGTGTAGCTTAGGGGGTAAGTCTTCTTCTACTATCAGACAAGTCCACTTAAGAAAATGTAAGTGGAAAACAGAAAATGGCGCGAACACACACGCAAGGCAATTCCCAAAGACCAACTTTAAGTGAACGCTCCCCTCCCCCCCCCCCCCCCCCCCCCCCCCCCCCCNCCAAATTTAAGGGAACCCCCCCCCCCCCCCCCCCCCCGCCCCACAAGATCTGAAACCAAGAATAATCAAAGAGCGTTGATCACCTTCTCGAAATCAAAAGAAACCCCTGCTTTTTAGGACCGAAATCGCCCACAATTTTTTCCCATTAAAATCAACAATTCACTTGTCAAAATCATGCCTCTGCACAAATAGACTCACTTAACTATGATAAAATAGGGATGCGCAATAGACTTACCTCCACGTGGTGCACCCTGGGCAACGTATACTTATACGGCAAAAAGGTCTATTGATCGGCAGTTGACTTCTGACTTCAAACTACTATGGTCCGACTATTTGTCATATTCGACCCCTTTCACAATACTCATCTTACCTACTTTATGCCTTTATGTCTGTCTGTCTGTCTCTTTTACATCTGTGAATCACTCTTCCGTTCTCCCTCTCGACTTTTTACCACTTTGATGTTCCTTCTCCTCTCTGTGAAGTCCCGAAGTCAGCTCCAGGGCTAATGATAACTATCAAAACGCCTGCCATTTGATATAAATAGATAAAAACAATGATAAAATAAGCGTAATGATTTTTTTCATCTAAAAACTAGACTTTTATAAATCAACTCCACCCATTTTAGCCTTTAAGATAAGAGCTTAGAATGATCTACTCCCGGCTATTGGTTATAAAATTTTTAAAAACCCATTAAACATCTGAAAAAAGCCAGAGCGCAGTAGGAATGATCACAATATTTAGTCTAACTGTCTAATAAATGAGCTCTGTGTAACAACTGCCTATTCTCATCCATTTAAAGAATAGGCCCAGTGAATTCTCACATTAAACTAGTTAAGATTCACCTTTCAGTCATATGACTCAGTGGGCGGGGGAGAACCTATATTTTAGTGAGGACGAATGCTCAACTGGGCCGAATTCAGTGGTTGATTAAAAATTTCTCCCGTTTTTTAATCAATCCTAAACACGATGGTTGCTCGGATAAGTTAGATTAAGTTATACCGAAGAAACTCCGTTCATTTCCCCAAGGACTGAAAAGGTCCCATTTGGCTTTCTCTTCGGTAGAACCAAATTAACTACATCAACACAGCACATCAAATAAAGTGCCATTCAAGGCGGTGAGTCAACTTCAGTTATTGCTCTCAGATGATATCCACCGGCTCAAATCACAAAACAAATCTATGTGAATAGTTGACACACATTAACTTTTGGTTAAATATCACGGAATTAAAAGAAAAAAATAACATTAAACCAAACCCAAAAAATCTATTGCTAATTGACGAAACGTTAAACGATAACAGACCAGATCAACAATAAGGAGGCACAATGCATAACAAACAAAAGGCGGATAAGAATAGTCCAACCGAATTTTCCTCTGAATGATGTCCCCAAATATTAAGCCAATCTCGCCTTTTAAGAAGTTACTATAAAAACATCCCAAATCACTGTAGTTCACAGCTTCGACCCCCATCAGCACACTTTCATAGAGTCGAAATAGTTGATAGGAGAGAGATAGCAGAATACGATTTTCATATTAGAGGTTCCATGTGCCCCATCACATCTATGACCTTTAGTTTAGTAAATTTCAAGACCATTCGATGTACTCATTTAGGCACGGATGCAGAAAAAGCGTTGAATAGTGTGAAGACCAAACTCCGAATTCCCCTGGAATCTTAGAAATCATAATTTCAGTAAAATAAGAAAGCGGAATTCCGTGATATCAGTGCCACACATGGTAAAATGTCACTCAATGCCAAATAAAGCACATATGTGATGGATCCTTAAAAAGTTTCACATCCAAATTCAGAGCGATTTAGCCAATTTTCTGCTATTTATGATATCCTGGGCCACTGAGGGGAAGTGGAGGTCTTGACACGACAAAGGCAAGATTTGGGTTCAAATCATGTCTTAAATTTTTGGGGTGTGTGATAGACTTACCTCCACGTGGTGCACCCTGGGCAACGTATACTCATACGGCAAAAAAGTCTATTACCTGGCAGTTGACTTCTGACTTCAAACAGTACTCACCTCACCTTTTTCCATCTTATCTACCTTCGTCTTTGAAACACTCTTCTGTTCCCCCCCCCCCCCCCCCCCCCCCCCCCCCNCCCCCGCCTCTCGATTTTTTCACTTTGATGTTCCTCCCTTCTGTGCAGTCTGAAGTCAACTAAAGGGCTAATGGTAACCAACAAAACGCCTGCCACTTGATAAAATAATAATAATAATAAGATGAGTCATGAGGTATATAACATAAAGTTGAGTCATTCAATATCCCCAATTCATAAAGGCAAAAACTCCCAGAGGCCATTTCAAAGGAAGGCACAGTCGACACACATCTAAAGAGAAATCCGCATTCAACTACACTTCTTGATGACCAGAAATAACCACTGTGTTTGGTCATCCATGTCACGGGTTGTCGGTCTCGTAACTATCGAGTCGTCAAGCATGAGCGACAGGCACTACACCACTGACGCTTATCGAAGTATAGAGTGCCACACAGACTACTGTCTGTAGTCATTTTTACACCACTTTAATGATTATCACTGATGTTGAACCTATAGGAAATCAAATGGACTTTTTGATTACTTATCAATAGCGGTCATCCAAACCGAACTTTACGTTGTGCTCAAAGACCTGTTAATAAGCACCACAAAACACGGCATAAGCATGAATCATACATCGGTCAACGTTGAGCCACTAAGAGATGGTAGGCCAATACTTTACTAAGTGATTAGGCGAAGGTCGTAGGGCATGGCTTAACGATTCACGAGAATATCGACCGCTCCAAGAGACCGACTATTTAGTGCGCAGGCATGCTTGGTAAAGGTGTGTGATGAGTCAACTGCACTGGAAGCACGAAAATCACACCAACTAATTAAGCAATGTCTAAAAAGTATGCAGAGGAGGGCTCTAAAAGTAAACTTTTGGAGGCAATAGACCATCTACACGGCTCTAAAGCTCTTTCGCATCCTCATCACAAATCTTAAGTGATTACTTACCAGCTATATTAAGATTAGCTTTGAGTCCATGACCTCCAACTTCATACATCTCCGCCATACGCGCCAGTAATCTATGAATCGGCGACAAGTCTTCGGCCGAATCGTAACGACCCTCCGCATGACATCCTTCATCGGCATCACCAGACCCTCCTCCCGGGACTGCAATACCAGCATTCTCAATCGCCTTGCGATACCACTTCACTGCCTCATCCCATGGCTGATTTGCGTAGTCCTTAGGCAGAGGAAATCCATGATGAGATGAAATTAACATCAAAAAATCATCCACGGGGGTTGACCTAAGATTCAACGCTTCACGAATAGTTATCCGGTCGAACTCTGGAGGATTATTTGAGTCAGTACCACCGAATATCACTGAGGCATCCATATAACGGGCAAGCAGGATCATACATCTCCTATCTCCTCCAATTGAGCACCTCCAAAGGTATTCTACACCCATATTAAGATTTTCATCTGTTGCTTTGATGGGGCAATCGGACAGAAGAGAGGTAGGAAGACCTAGATAGTAGTTAGCCATGGTAATGAGTGCTTCCAGACACCCAAGTTGGGCCGCAATCCGTTCATGGAATAATACAGATTCCCAATCAATAGAGTTGGGTGAATCGGTATTGCGGTTTTCATCATCGCCATCTACAGATAAACCACCAAGTCCATTATTAGACCATCCGCCATATGTCCTCTCTGTGAACCTTCCACCTTCATGCATACTAGCCAATTCATGGTGCAGCTGTCCCAGGATAGATTGGCCAATCTCCTGATCTAAATTTGAGGGATGAGTCGCAGAGGATGGTTTATGGGTTTCATGAATGCTTTGATGGAAAAGCGATGATCCAACATCGTTGTCAACATCTGAGGACTCGCTGAATGTGCGTGGACGCCTTCTACGTGGCTGTAGTGGGCGTGATGGAACAGAGGGACCGGATACCTCGTCATCAAAGCTAAATCCCGAGTCCCAGTCGTTGGCAGAGTCTGGAAGACCAGGGAAGTCGCTGTCCACGCCTTCTGTGCTACTAGACAGACGTCTACTGGGACTCACTAGAGCCTTGGCACCACTTGAAGAGGTTGTACCACAACCCCCAGTACCACTAAAAGTTCGAAATCGACGCGGAACAATGCGGAATTCCTCCTCTTTAGATACAGTGGGGCCATACAGGTGTTTAGCACTGGAACGATAGCAGGTAGAGAGAGGGCCCTGGGAAAAGGACAGAGGCATCATGCCGAAAGAGAGAGATCGTTTTCGATGTGGAAGAGGTATTACGTTTTCGCTGTCAGTCAGGGAAGAAGCTAGTGAATGATCGTTGGCCTTCAGTTGCTAATTGAAATGCAAAAGAACGTTAGACAGTCCATCAATTGGAATTCATTATTTAAAATTCCCACTAACCTATCAGCAGGATATATTTATCCGGATATTGGGTCAAACAGTTCCACTTAGGGCACATTCATTTCCCATTATTGTTTAAAGCTTTGATAATAAGCTTCTCTTTGTCCTACTCGATACTTTCAAAAAGGTATGTGTTTCACTTATTCTCTCCCGCACCTTGCAACTTCTGATATCTTTCTACACATTTCTTTGACAATAAGGCAATAATTTAATAGAAGCAGTCTGCTTTTCGACATAAGCCACTCAGGAAGTTTACGAGTCACTAATTCAACCTAAGACTCACACCCCCCCCCCCGTTATTTAAGTCCTCTCTGATCTCTAGAAATACAAGTATTTCTAAAATTTCACCAATTTTCTACCTCCTCCCTAACATGTTTGTTTTGAAGATTGTACATTGACCAAAATTTGGCTGATTTCTCAAATATAATTTGACTCTCGACAAACCTTTCAAAGGGATTTTATTAGGACCCACCGGAAGGATATCAGAAGCTTCAAAAATCTCCTCATCCTCCTCCTCACCATCGAATCGATTTTCCTCATAGATCACCTCCCCATCATAGAGTTCTTTGACCTCATTTTCAGAAAGATCAAAGGGCTTCAATTGTAGGGCTTCGCAGAGAGGATTACAACGATGGGAATGGAAGAAAAGTGCCATGCCTCTGAGCCCAAGATTACCATCATTGTAACCCAGGCCATCGAAAGTATGAATCTGAGGATCAGTGTAAAGATCACCAACTCCTTGAATGTCCACCACTAATAGTCTGTGGCCGGAGTGTTCGAAAGTAAAGTGACTGAAGGCCTATAAAATTGGATGATAAAAGTATTTTAAGTTATCTTCTCACAGCATAAAAGCAGATATTTGTGTGTGGGGGGGGG